ATTCAGCGCACTTTTCACGGGAGCAACACTTTTGTTGAAGACAGAAATATTTTATACTTCAATATATCTAGCTTTTGAATATATAATTTGCATATATATAAGAAATATGGAGAATAGTTAAAGTCATGGTTATTGTCTATTTTAATAAACAAAATAAAACTTATCATGCCTCTGGTTTGTATTTTATGTATTTTTAGTAAGCATTTAAAACTTTCACACTGATTTTTTTTAACAGAATTGCATGGTTTTTAAAAAGAATACTTGCTGTGAGCATTTTTGAAAACAGTAAGGACTGTGAGAGATATTAAAGGATAAAATGCATTAAAACGTAAATATAAAGATAAACGAATGTTTACACTATCCCTAATTACTTACTTCAGCAACATGTAAAAGTTTGGCATTTGAAATAGACTGTATTTCCAAAATCCAGTGAACTATAAACCAAATAGACATCTTAAGTCTATAAATATATAGAGACTTTGGTTGATTTAAACGTATTTTTCAAAGTCAGTTTAATTAGTTATTACTGCTACAGCATGTACATGAAATCTGCAGTCCCTATGTGATCCCACGGCAGACCTATACAGAATGGTCACTCAAGGACAGAGATAAGAGTGCTGAGTGTATTTTTTTAAGATGCCAATGAATTGGACAACTTGCTTCTGACAATTATTGCTTTAAAGACCCTTTAGCAAATATCAGCAGAATTGGTCTATAATTTACCAGGCGTTTCACTTTGAACATGTCAGGCCCCTAAAGGTTTTTGCACATGTCAAGATATCTACAAACACAATTTGTTTCAGGTTGACTATCCATAAAAAACGTTTCCTTTACTGTCTAAAACCTGAATAATTACTTTTTCTGAACTACACAATCTATGTCTTCCGGACATTGCTTTCTTGTTTTGCTCTCCAAGTGAAACACCTTTCGAGACCACTTAAATAAACTACAAAAACAGAAAGTTGCAAATATAGCTCTTAGAAATTGTAGAAGTCAGTTAATTAAGATTTATTGCAAAGGTTCCTTATTATGAAAGTCATAGCTTTAACTCTATAATCTTATTTATCCAACTACAGTCGGAATAATCAAGGAATTATATGTAGTTTCTCATAACTACATCTAAGTGGTTCTAAGTGATTTCAAACTATTTTTTTTACATCTGTTTAATTATAAACAGAGCAAACAATTAAGCCAGGTTTGTTTAATGTGGTTTTCTTAGTATTTCTTAAATATGAGAAAAAATATATATACATCATCAACTACATGAAAGAAAAGGCAAACCGATGCCAATTTATTTCATCTCTATCTTCATGTTCCACAATGTGCATACATAGAGTAGGAAAAAAATAAATTGTCTATATTTTTTGGTCTCTAATATTTTTTCCATACTCATGTAAGTATGAACTCAAGAGCAATGTTATTAGTCTGACTTTCTTTTCCTATGTGTGGTCCGGGAAAAATTCCAGCATCTTCTGATAGATGGCTGCTTCTTTAAATTGTTGCAGCTATATGCAGATACCCATTCATTTATCCAAATTTTAGATGAACTCTGGAGCTCCTTCTCCAAATTCTGTTATACTTCTATGATACGCTGTCTTGTACACGATCACTCTCTAATTCCTCCATTAATCAACCTTTGCTTGGTTCCTTCCACTCAGAATTATCTCCCTTATTCCAGCCTCATTTTACTTAATCACTCCTATTCAGCCCCCAGAGCAAAACTTAATTCAACTGTCGTTTCCTCAGTAAGATGGCCCCACACCTTATCCTCCAGATTTGGAGAATATATGCTTCCTGAGCACCATAGGCTTCTCCTTAGCAATACTTACTACAGTATAAACTACAGGTTTGTAAATTACCTGCTTATTCTCTGCCCCCCACTAGACTTTAAAGTACAAAAAGGCTCACTCACTATCATATACAAGGAATACACTAAAAATATGTTAAATAAATTGAAAGTTTATGAATAACACATCACACTTCCGTTTTTGTGTAAAAACACACAGGCTTCCGCTTTAAGAAGAAAACCTCCTTAGTTCATTTTTTACCACAAGGCACACCCAATATGTAACCTACAGATAAGAAGGTAAACCATTTTACTATTGTCCTCTCAGTCTAATGAAATCATAATGTCTTCTGAGATAACTTTTGCAATTGTCTCTTAAATAGTTGAAAGAGAATTTCCAAAGATACTCCAAGGTGGAGCGATGGGAAATTATTTCCTCTATTTGAAGCAATACAATTCTTTTAATTAAGGCTAGAACAAAGTGGCATCAGTTGAAAGTTTATTCTGAAACATTCAGTTTCTATAAATTCCTTTTCAAGTCAATACTACACTTTGATTCCTTTGGATACAGAAGGAATATCTGATAGACCCACAGACTAAATTAGTTCGTAACATTACCTTTACCTAGAGTATCTGCATTTTCACAGATGTGATTCTCTAACTTCAGAATTTCAGGCACAACAAGAGGGGGACTTCTTGGTATCAAAATTATAACATGGAGGTAGATGCTCATATTTAAGGCTGATCATAATATTTTATTAGTATATGCATGACAATATTTTAGTTGGTTTAGGGCCTTTATGTACTTTCAAATAAAATATATTTTGATTCTTTTTAAAATATGTATATCTAAAACAAAATCAAATTAAAGTAACAATAATCATTTCTTAATACTCAACAAAGATAAATGATTGGAATGGATTGTTTAATGATATTATTTTTCCAGAATATGTGGTTTCAGTATATGGATACCATCTGTTATTTCATGTTTGATACATATCTTTTTTCCACATAGCAACATACTTTTAATAAACTATCCCATTTTAAAGTGAAAAACAACTCATATTCTATCATTTTGATATGCATAGGCACGAACTAAATATACTCTTTTGTAATCCTAGAATGAAAGGCTGCTGTATGTATGAAATTATGTAAGCATATTTACATATTTATTTTATTTAAAGTGACAGATTGATTTTGTACTGAAATTAGTTTTTTTTTCCCTGTAGCTAAAAATTGTTGTACTAGATTGTATTTTTTGATAAGGTGGTGGCAATACAAATCCTTAGAAATCATTTGCTAAAGCAAAGAGGAAGAGAAAACCCTCATCTGCTTTATGCTGAAGGTATATTTGACAAGATTTTGTTGTTACTAAAGAGAAAAAGAAAAGAGAAAACAGAAATTCTATTTTGAATAACCATAAAGCAAATTATAGGATGTGGAAATATTTGCTAAATGAAGAGGAAAATTACACAGTAAATACAAAGACTATGAGTGTACAATATTATATGGCTTTATTAGAGGTATTTCTGAAGATTATCAACTAAGTGAATTTACGTATAATATTTTGGAACACTAAGAAATTGGTATTGGTTCAATACACAGGGCGTGTGTGTGTGTGTGTGACATTTATCATGTACATGTCAATTTATCATGTACATAGCATCAGTTAACTATCACCATATTCAGTATATATAACTATCGTTGCAGTACTCTCTACTTCTACCACTTCATAGCCACACTGCCCTCCTTCAAACATCTAAGCCCTGGCACCCTCTAATCTGTTTTCCATATCCATAATTATATTATATCAAAAATATTATATGAGCGGAATCATACAGAATGCATCCTTTTGAAATAGGCTTTTCACTCTGTAAAGTGCCATTCAGGTTTATTCTAGTTGTGTGTCAATACTTCGTTCATTTTTATTTCTGAGTATTATTCCAATACATTCAAATCGATGTATTTTATTTTAAATATCACCATATGCTGCCTTTGTGTATATTATGCTGAACTGTCTTTCTACACATTCGTATGTTGAGGTCACAACCCCTAGGACCTCAGAATGATAACACTGCATTTAGAAATGGAGTCTTTAAAGAGCAATCAAGGTAAAATGGGATCATATGCGTGGGTCCTAATTCAATATGACTAATGTCCTTATAAGAAGAGAAGATGAGGAGATTAAAGAGGACAGACCATGTGAAGACAAGAAAAAAGATGGCCACCTGCAAACCAAGGACATAGGCCTCAGAGTAAAATCAACACTTGCTGACAACTTGATTCTTCTAGCCTGCAAAGCTATGAGAAAATAAATTGTCTGTTGTTTATGCCACACAACCTGTCTTATTTGTTATGGCTGCCTTAGCAACAAATGCAGTGTATAAGAATAGTTTTATCTTTTTAAATTTGTCTCACATGTGTTCATTTATAATACTTTCTGTTATAAGGCAATAACTTGTGTGCTCATATAATTTATGAACACTTCTCAAAAAGAGTTTTAAAAAATCTCTTAAGCGTTTCCTGTTTCCTGCTCTGCAATATAATCATGTTATGGTGGAATTAGAGAGAGTATATACTTGTAAAAATCATAGGAGTGTTTGCGCCTGACCATATTGTAGCAAAAATCTATGATGTTATAAAGAGAACATTTAACTGAATTCATCAGATTTCTGAACAGCTTAACTACTTTGCACAGACTTCACATAGATTACGGCATTTGAACACATTTCTAAATTTTTCTGCTATTTAGAGTGGATCACAGTTAAATATGTTGGCTGGAATGCTTTTATAATATAGACGTGAATTATAATATAAAAATTATTACTATTTGCTTTATGACATGCAAAAGGGATGGCAGCATAAGTGGGGCAATTGAAATTCAATTCATTTAATAACATTTTATTGATTTCTGACTTCTGTTGGTGAGTAATGTGGACTTACTCATTAAGATATGTTGTTATATGAGAATATAAAAAACATGAGTACACAAACATTAGAGGGAAGCATTTCATCTTATTGGTCATACTACTGAGAAGTAATATAAAAACATCTTTCTGAATTTTAGGAAAGAACAACAACCAGAGAATTACCTCTGCAGTGTATAATGTATATGACTGCATTGCACCTGCAGTGAATATAGGCCCCTGAGGGATACTACATCATTTCAAAAGAAATTATAGGTCTGTTTTGAGAGAACAGCAGTGGAACTTACCATCTTGATCCGTGGTCACTGTAATCGCTGTGAATGGCTTGGGAGAAAAACTCAACTCAGAAACTCCATTCATTGCTTCTATTTCAAAGGTGTAATTCACGTGAGACACAAAGTCAAGTACTATCACGGAATTGTTGATCAGGCCTGTATGTCTTGGGATGAAGCGGAGTCCTCCACCACAGTCCTCACACTGGCTGGTGTCTAAGCCACATTTCTTACAGATTACACTGTATGTGAGATCTTTTCTCCCTCCTGTGTCACTTGGTGGGCTCCATTCCAAAATAAGGGCTGTTTCATTGATGTTAAAAACCACATTCCTAGGAGCTGAAGGTGGCCCTAGAGAAAAGCAATTAAAAAACATATGTACATGTATAGGACAATGAATTATGGTGTTAAATTGTAAACGTCATTCATAAACACCTGTTGGTCTTTTTTTTTTTTTTTTTTTTTTTTTTTTCTGAGACGGAGTTTCGCTCTTGTTACCCAGGCTGGAGTGCAATGGCGCGATCTCGGCTCACCGCAACCTCCGCCTCCTGGGTTCAGGCAATTCTCCTGCCTCAGCTTCCTGAGTAGCTCGGATTACAGGCACGCGCCACCATGCCCAGCTAATTTTTTGTATTTTTAGTAGAGACGGGGTTTCACCATATTGACCAGGATGGTCTCGATCTCTTGACCTCGTGATCCACCCGCCTCGGCCTCCCAAAGTGCTGGGATTACAGGCTTGAGCCACCGCGCCCGGCCCTGTTGGTCTTTTATGTTCGTTCAAATTCTTTTTCTAATGGGATCTATAATGATCATATGGTTAAAATAGTTCATTAAGTCTAGTAAGGAAGGAGTATTGAGGAGTAAAGATCTATACCTTAAGTTTTTGGAGTATGAAATTCAATATTTAATTTAAAAATCAGCATATCTTAAAACATATGGTTATTATACTTTTTAAACTAGACAAAAATATATATGAAAATTATTTTAAATTATGATAGCTTTAATGATATCTTATTAATTATATCACCATTTTCAAAATTTGAAAAAAATAGTGACATACATACACAAAACACACTGTGGTTTTTCAGTCTTCTTACTATAATTGGTATATAGATAAAGTCCCCATTCATTGCTCCTGAAAATCACTAAGAATCTGTTTTCCAAAAGTTAAGAATAAATAACCTGTTACATTTTTTTTTTCTATTTTGTTTTTACTAAAAGCCGTCCTAATAGGTATGAAGTGATAGCTCACTGTGATTTGGTTGTATTTTCATAATTAATAATGTTGGACATGAAAAGATATCCAACATTATTAGTTGTTTAGAACCCTTGTGTGCTACTCATGGCCATGTAAAATCACACAGCCACTATGGAAGATGGCATGATGCTTCCTCAAAAAAATTAAACAGAATTACCATATAATCCAGAAATTTCTGTTCTGAGTATGGACCCAGAAGAATTGAAAATAGGGACTTAAACAGATATTTTAAATAGGGAGTTAAGCAGATAAACTTCTGATGATAACAGCATTATTCAAAATAGCCCAATGGAAGCAACCCACGTATCCACTGACAGATGTTAGATAAACAAAATGCGGTATATACGTAAAATGGAACATTATTTAGCCTTGAGAAGGAAGGAAATTCTGATACAAGCTAAACATGGATGAACCTGGAAGACATACCAAGTAAAATAAGCCGCACACAAAAGCACAAATATAAAACTCCATTGATATCAGTTACGTAGAGTAGACAAATTCGTAGGTACAGAGAGTACACTGGTGGTTGCCAGAGCCCGAGGGAAGGGGAAATGGGGTGTTAGTGTTTAATGGGTAAGGAGCTTCGGCAAGGGAAAATTAAAATGTTCTAGAGATGGGTGCAGAACAATGTGGAAATGCATTTAATGCCACAGAACTATATACTTTAAAATGGTTAAAATGATAAATGTTATGTATATTTTACCACAATAAAAACATTATAAATTTAAAAAAAAAAGAGAATAAATAACCATAAAGTTAGGGTGAACAGACAATTTGGAAAAAAGGAAAAAGAAATGAAAATTAAAGCCAATAAAAAGCCTTTTCTTAAGTCTTTATCAATTTGATGAGATAAAAGCACTATATGGAAGGGATAAAAAGGGGCCACAGACAAGAAATGATGGCAAGACTTTCATTTAGATTAAGTTTACTAAACACAAGTTAGTGTGTCCTTAAAAGTAAGTATGGCCCTAAGAGACCCGCACAATCTTTTATTTGTCATAAAGACCTCAAAAGCCAAGTGAGTCCTAAGGGGGGAATGAGCATCTTCTTCAGTTTTTCCACGAAGATCACACTGCATACAGTATTTGGTAGCTTACTTTAATTCTTCCAGCCTTCCCTTAAAAGTGTGTGAATAATCCTATATACTTATCTGAGTCCTTCAAGCCCCAGTTTCATTATGTCCACTGAACAAATATTACCTGAATGTCTTCTAGGTGCCAGGCACTGCGCTAAGTACTAAATATGAAAAAACACAGGATCCATATTGCTGTGATTATACTTACGAGAGATATTTAGAGAAATAATATATTGTATAAACGACTGGTCAAACAACATTCATGCCATATTTTAGAAACCTTCATTTAAAAAAAGCTGAACCGATTCTCTAAGTTTTGTTACCAAGAAAATCTGCTTTGAGAGTGGAAAGGAATGTCTCCCAACATTCCCTCCTAGAAACACATTCAAGTTTTGATAAAATCTCCTTCTGGATTTCAAACTAAAGCCATTCATTCATTACATATTTCATTTCGTGCCTATTATATGGCAGATACTCTACTAGACCTTGGGCTTTCAGAGATAAGGCATGGTAGACATTATCTCTGCTTTCTTATTTACATTTTAGTAGAGTGGCTAGATACATTTAAACGGATGAATAAAATTCAAATCTGAGTGCAATTACAAAAATGACGACAGGTGCTGAAATAAAATCAATCAGGGCGACCCCTGTTTTAGGTAACATTCTGAGAAAGCCTTGTAGAGGTGGTGAGGACAATGGGTGGAGGGGTGGGAAGAATATCAGTAATAGAAAGTCTGCCTTCTTGTCAAGAAAGATCTTGAAATAATCACGAAACTGTCAGAAAGTCACTGTGGCTAGACTGCAGAGGGAAATGCATGAAGCAACTTTTAAGAAACAGGAAGAGACTAGATAATGCAGGACTGCTAGGCTCATTGGGATGAGTCTGGATAGTTTTCTTTTTTTCTTTATATATATATATATATATATATGTATTTTATTGCACTTTAGGTTCTGGGGTACATGTGCAGAACACGCAGGATTGTTGCATAGGTACATACACGGCAATGTGGTTTGCTGCCTCCATCCCCCCAATACCTATATCTGGCATTTCTCCCCAGTTATCCATCCCCAATTCCCTACCTCGCACTGTCTCTCCCCTGGTCTCCCCCAACAGACCCCACTGTGTGATGTTCCCCTCCTGTGTCCACGTGTTCTCATTGTTCAATACCCACCTATGAGTGAGAACATGTGGTGTTTGATTTGCTGTTCTTGTGTCAGTTTGCTGAGAACGATGGTTTCCAGATTCATCCATGTTCCAACAAAGACACGAACTCATTATTTTTTATGGCTGCATAGTATTCCATGGTGTATATGTGCCACATTTTCCTTGTCCAGTCTATCATCAATGGGCATTTGGGTTGGTTCCAGGTCTTTGCTATTGTAAACAGTGCCACAGTGTTCTATGTACAACAGGAACAGACCTTAGCTAAGCTACCTATAGGTATATCACCTAGAAATGCAATGAATCATTTTTCTAAAAGGTTGCCGAGTGCCATCCTTTATGCCATATCATGTTTCATAGGGTTTACAGAAGTGTCTACCTTCAGAAAGGCAAATGTGGAGAGGATAATAAACTAGAGAACAGAGATAAATGTAACTTTTTACCTCCAACCTAGATTTATGCCTAGGAGAAAGATTCATTATCGTTATCATAATAATGTTTTCCTACAGAATGACATATTCATATTGTTGGTCTTTTATTTATAATGGAAAACATGAATTATTATTCACTTATATTTTCATGCTAGGAAGAATGTTATCAATTATGTTATGGGAGTCTACAAGTATATAACTGTCCGCCTGGAGATACTTAAAAAAAAAAAAGAAGGCTGACACCCTTCTTACTCAAGGGCCCTCAAACCAATTTGCATGACGATTAAATAGCTTTCTAATTGCTGTTAAATTATGCCAGCTAAACTGTGATTTCATGCAAATATTAAGCTGTAATGACATGCAGTGAATCATTTACTGAGATTTAGAACTTGGAACAAAGAGAGACTATTAATTCTTATCCTCAGATTCAACTAAATTGTGTGTCACTGGGCTTTTATGAATGTGGCCTGATTGCTTTGTTATCATTTATAAATTATAGAAACATTACGTGACATGTTGAAAAAATAACATGGCAGCAATAACACTTTGGGAGACATCTGTATTGAAAACTTTCAGGTATTTCCTCATGTTGTTTTGTTTCTTTAAAAGAAATAAATAATTCACATAGAAAGAAAACAATCTCCAGTCCTCACCTTCCAGACTGACTTTATAAGAAAAGGGCAATTATTCTGATTTGAAACTAGTGGTTTTTCAAGTCCATTATATAATAAATTTTACCTAAAAACTACAATTTCATTTCTATTAGTTGTGTTACAATTTTATTTTCCATTAATTGTTTTTTAACTAGAAAACACTTTTCTTTGTTTTGATTTGAAGGTTCACTTTATAATTTTAACCAATAAAGGAATAGTGTTCTACCAGTAATACTTATGAGATGCTTGTAACAAGGCTGTCTCTTCCCTTACCAGAAAAACATCTGTCCCTGTAGGCTCAATCTTCCTCTCAGAGATCAGGTGTGTTGTAATTTTTGTTTTGTTTCATTTCATCGAAGTTCTTAATGTAAATTGTTTTTAAACATAACTGTGTCTCTTAAAATATGTCCTATGCAATACTTCTAGTCCCATGAAGTATCACACAAAAATCAGTTTGTTGTTCAGATAAGACTTTTTTGGTGAACTGATGCTGAAACAAAAGTAATACTATTTGCTTCACTTTGTGGAATCCAACATTTCCCAAAAGTTTGTTCACAGAATCTTATTTTCCAAGGACCATCTAGAGGAATACTAGCATTCTGCAGAACATACTTAAATAAAGGCTGACACAGGGGAAGAAAAAGCTAAAGGGCCATATTTCAGTTGTTGCATCAGCTGGTACAGATTAATGTTTCACGTTTATAATCGTAAAAATACGTTAACCCATAAACAAACGGGGGGATTTTTCATATGGACTGAAGAGTGACTGTTC